GTAAAGTTTCTGATATTACCTACAACTTTCACATTTAACATTTCTAGCTATCTCTTCAAATTAGGGTTCGGAATTTTTAAAATTCAAGTATTCGAATAGTCGTTTGGTATTTTATTCGAATAGTTGAATAATTCGAATAGTCGAATATTCGAATACCTATTCGAATATTCGAATAGTCGAATAGTCGAATATTCGAATATGTAGTCAAAAAGTCGAATATTCGAATAGTCTAATATTCCAATAGTCAAATATTGATAGAGGACCTTATTAAGAGAACAAAATGGGACTTTAAAAATGACGTTTTTCGACTAACAATCATTCTTGATAAAAGTTTCTACTTCCCGCAAAAGAACGTTCTACGACGAAGCGAATTTTTGATTTTTTATGCTGCAGAGTATCGCAGAGTCAGAAAAACTTAAATAATTTAGATGTTTTCTAAATGGCAAAATTACAAAGGGGTAAAATTTACATTACGAACAAAAATGCATTGTATTTATTGAAAGCTGATTTTCAACGAAAACACTTCGTATATTGTATCATTCAAATTCCAATATTGAAACGAAACAATTGAAATATTAAATTGAATATATATTTAAATCAAAAAGTGAGTAATTGCATTGTTAAAAAGTCCAATATTCGAATAGTCGAATATTCGAATAGCCGAATAGTCGAATAATCGAATATTCGAATAATCGAATATTCGAATATTCGAATATTCGAATATTCGAATATTCGAATAGTCGAATATTCGAATAGTCGAATAGTCGAACATTCGAATAGTCGAATAGTCGAATTTGTTAAGTAACAAAAAAGGCGAATTTAGAATAGTCGAATAGTCGAATATTCGAATTATTCGAATACAATTCCGAGCCCTACTTCAAATAGGTCAGATAAATGTTGGTGCAAAATAAAGACAATCACCCGGTACATGTTTCTAGAAAATGCATCAAAATCTAACTCACATCTTGACACAAAAATACTGAAGACCAGTCACATTCTGAGATCAAAGAGATAGATAATCGATGATTGATCTGATCTCCAATCAATTCTACGCAGATTTGGACCATTTTGTACTGATAGGATAGGATGTACTTCTTGTGTACCTATCTGAAAAACCCATGATCCGTTAAACCCAAAAAACCAATAACCATACTTCTCTTATTTACCTATAGATCCATGGTTTTATTTTTTTGGGATATTCACAAAAATCACCAACAGCCTATTCGGTTTTAAATTTTGACAGATCTACTTGATTCTTTACTTTACATTTGAGAAAAATAAAACTTTCGGCTTCTTTACTAGTCAAATAATGGAAACGGAAAGGAAAATTTACTTAAAATTGAGATAAAGTCGGCTCTTGAATTTTCCTTATTTTGGGAAATTTAGAAGAAAACTGAAACTCAAAAACTTGGAATTAATATTTTGTGGACATGACTTGTCAATGAATGTCCAAAGAAGCTTTCAATGGTACCAGAATTGAATACAGTATATGCTTGCATAAAATTAATTTCAAGCCTTTATCACTTCTTTCTCTGTTTTGTGCGCTGGAAGATACTTTCTTCATTGATAACTTTTACCTTTTTAGGGACAGTCCCTGGAAAATTTAGGTTCTTAGGGTTTTTAAAAATAATACGGACTTCAACAATCTTAGAAATAACTTTGTTCTTGCCTGTAACATGAGTTATAATGGCTCTGCTGGCTGTAATAATCAAGAGACTGTAGCACTTCTTCTCTAGTGTTTACCTACTCGTGCCGTACCACTCTCAGGCTTCGGAATACCTATTATCCAACGTCACTGATGTTTCTGGATAGGTACCTACTCTGTTTCTTGTGCTGATATTGATATTATGGAACAAGTAAAAAATTCACCTGATAAGTTGTCATGTGGGCCGGATGGAATTCCCTTACGCTTCATACAGGGTGTTCCGAAATTAATACACCAAATTGTTATGGCATATTTTATATAATAAGCTCTTAAGCAACCCCATTTCAACCCCATTATAATAAGCTCTAGTTTCCTATATAAACGTATATCCAGAAACGCTTCCTTTCCGAGATGTAGTATGTTGAAATTCTAAGAAAAAAACGATTTTTTCATCATAATTCTCAAACCACTCCTGCCTGTATACCCTTGCGACAGGTTCTTAACCCGTTTTGTGGAAGTTCAACTTATTGAAACCAATATTTAAAAGTGGGTCAAGAGAAGAGTTCACAAATTACAGATGAGCTGTTTGCACGTAGTTGAGATTCCTAAGTGGCTGGATTGTCTCATTACCAGGAAACTTAGCTGGGGCTGTAGGTCTCTTTTAAATCCGGAACAGCATGGATTTACGGTGGGTAGGTCGACATCAACAAATTTGGTTTTGTGTCAGAATTTCATTTGGAACAGCATGGAGATGGATTCCAGGTTCATTCTGTATACTCGGAGTGCTCTAAAGCCTTTGACAGGGTTAACCATCGCCTGCTTTCTTATTGGGAGGACCCAGCAGTTAGCTATGGCGGTGTTGTGTCTCGTGTCTTTGATGCTCCTTTTGGCGTACCCCAGAGGTCCCACTTTGGGCCGATCCTGTTCAGTCTGTTCATATCCTATGTGGGTATAATTCCATTGCCATTGCACACAGCTCATTTTTCTCATTTGAAGATGATCCTTAAACTTTATCGTCAGGTATCATCTTTGGAAGACTCACAACTACTGCAAGATGATATTGATTCTTTTGATAAAATCATGGTGTGGCTCGAACGAAATGGACCTCAATATTGCCAAATGTTATAAAATAACTTTTTCCAGGTTATCCCAAACAGTGAAATTCCCTTACACAATTAATAATAACACATCAATCAGGGAAGTAGCAAGAATTCGAGATTTGGAAGCGGAATTTGACTCCAAAGATGTAATTTTTTGGTTGTCCTTCTATGTTGTCTTTATAAGAAGATTGCTACCGTTGCTTGCTGGATACTTAATTCTTAAAATAAGTTGTATCTGTTTTCTGGATTTCACTGCAATTGAATAGTTATTAACTTGGTTGAATTCATCAGGATTTTGTTTGTTATGTGCTTATAGGTTTAGGTGTGTTGTAAAACGTGAAGCTATATTGTAAGAAATTGTTTTTTTTATATTGTTATTGTAAATTGGCTTCGCCTAAAATAAATAAATAAATTATCTACAAACAGGATACCATCAAATATCTGGACGTAAATCGCATAGGCACAATACAGCATTCCCATTCGGAACTTTTTCGTCAACCTCCAGATTCCAACAACTAATTGATCGTTTCCAACTCTTAGATTCAACTATATTAGGTCTGTTCTCACAAAAATCACAAACCAGTCAGATCGTTTTTGATTGGTGCAAATCGCCAACAACCAGTTTTCCAACCAATAAAATTCGTTCGGACTAGTTTATGATTTCTGCAAAAACAGACCTATTTATGTATCCTAGATTTGATTTTATTATCCAGAATTTTCGTAGAACATCTTTCAGACTTTTGAAAAGTTGGCATTTAATTGACTTTTGACATTCAAGTTTCGACTTAATCGAGCCAAATGCCTTTTTGTCCGTTAAATATTCAGAACACATTATATCTGAGAAAATTTAACGATATTTCTCTAAATGGTGGAGAGATTGCCTCCAAAAGGAAAGATATAAAAGTGTTATTGTCTAGTTGTCTTTCATCCAAACTTGCTCTTGGGTTTGGCGATTCATACTTTCTCCTGCAGCTGTTTTGATTTGAAACCCTCAACTTCCTTTACCGAGAAGAAAGATGAATGAGTATAAGAAAAGGAATAAAAGACTTTTTGACCACATACAGCCGTGACTACTTACACCTGCAAAGATGAACTACCGAGATGGAAGCTCTAGTAGTTGTGTATGAGTTGTCGAGTTCTAGTTGTTTCGACAAAAAGTATGGTTTCTTAAATTCTGGTAGAGTTAGTTCCTACTCTACTATTCGCCAGCTTGGTCAACAAACATACAACGAAAAGGTTCGTTCACACTATAAATAAAGAGGATTGCCAAAAAGTGTGATGGACCTTGTTTCAAAATGTATTAAATGTTATAGTCATTAACGTTACAAGGCCGATAAATAGCAAAATAACCGAGGCTGAAGTTTGGAATTTGAGGCGGTAACCGAGGATTATAATCAGCCGAGATTAATATTTGCAAATATCGGCCGATTTGAGTTCTAGATTTTTCGTCCTTAGTACAGATTTTGCAAAAAAAATTATTATGCTTTGTTTAGAACAAATTTGGTTGTTTTTATGAGATTTTTTTTTTGGAACATTTGTATTTTCTAGGAAACATGTACAGTAGATTTAGGTGAAACTGAAACTCAAAAACTTTCGTATTTACACCTTTATTCTTGGTATTTGTAAACCTAGCAGATGCAGGTGTGATGTCAATATAAGAATAAGAATCGAACTGGGGGGTCTTATAGATAATTAATTGGTGTATTATAGAGGCTTTTTTATTCAACTGAAAAAATTATTGCTCAAATAAAGCTATGACCCTGTAGACTGATATTATTTTTTTTTTGAGAGAATTTGAAAAAACAATAATGAAATGCTCTATTACTCTCATACCCTAAAATATTGTACAGGATATCCTCAAACAGTTTTGAAAGTTGAAAAAACTAATGTTTTACAATATTCTTCAGCAAAAAAAAAAAAAAAATGATAACCTTGCAAGTGCAAGTTATAGGATTTTATGGATAAAAAAGGATTCATGAAACTGAAACATCCTGTAGTTATGATCGTCATTCCTACGAAAATTTTGAAATAGTTGAACATGGACAATCTTTAGAAAGTTATAAGCCCCTATAAAGTAAATAATTTTTAAAACTTTTTTCAAACACTATGAGCCTACCAGAAATAAATTTTGAGATTTTTTGGGTTTTAATAAACTTTTTGAGGATCAAAAGCCTTTATAGAGAATTGTGAAAACTTCAAAATGATTTATGAAGACAATGTTTCCATGAGGAGATTAAAGTTGAAATAAAACAGAAATTAAAATGAAAAAAACTTCTTTATTTTTTCCCAAATCATAAAATTTCTTTTTACATATAAAAATCTATTTAACAAAAAAAGCTCAATACTAAATAATTATCTTATTTACAAAAAAAATCTCTAGAGACAAAACAAAGACAATTTTTTCGAAGACACTATTGTCTTACAGTGGAAGACCAATAAAAAATATTAATTGAATTTTTTTTAAATAATATACATTATTTTTCTAGTGCCTCTAAACAACACTAATGAATTTAATTATACAAAAAAAAATATTACAAGCTAAAAAATCACAGAAAAAAGTCACAAAAATATATCTGTTACGCAAAAAAAAAATTAAAATGTGCAATATTATTTTAAACTTATTTGTGAAGTAATATTGTTTTTTAACCCGCCTGTATATAATTTTATGTAATTGTTTATGTACATTTTCATTATTATAATTAAAAATTGCAACGTAACAGGTACGAAATTATTAGTTAAACACTTTGTATATTTACCAACTTTCACAGCCCATGAAACTTAGTAGACTATGAAAATTCATTAACATAAATATGCAAACCATCAACTGTGTACAAAAAAAAATAAGGTCCATTAAACTAAACTGTACAAATCATCTAATTCTTCTAACATCAATTCACACACCATTCATTCATTACCAAATTAAAAAACAATAATTTAAAACATAATATAGTCAGTCAGATCCCTTCAATATCTTCTTCTTCTTCCATAAAGCTGTCTTTTTCTTGGGACTTAATTGGAATGAGAAAAATAATTCAACAAAACAAAGGGGTCCTTTAGCTCAAGATCCTATCTGAGGGTGTCAAGGCTTCTGCTGTCTGTAACAAAAGAGAAAACAAATTTAATATAAATAATGTATCATTTTGACATATTATTAATAATATGTACTAACAAAAAAAAGAACCCAGACATCTGGCCATCAGAATATACATCTACACACACGTGCACTGTACAGCTGTGTTCTTATTATCAATAAATAACCTTTTTGTGTTCATTGACTGAGGACGCTCGGAATTGTCCTTTATTTCGTAGGACTGAAGCTAATAAATCCGAACGCGTTTACGTTTTCATAAGGCGCATTCATAAGAAGGCATATAAGGGTCCATTCAGCTTATATTATCTAGGAGGAAATGTCAAATTAAATATTTGAGCTTTTTTTTTAAAGGGTCGATTAAACGGTTCCGTTAACCCAGGTGGTGAGGAGGATGATAGAAACTTATTTAGGTCAGTAGGTACCTATATGCTGTTTCTTCTTATTTATTGATCATCAAACTTAGAAATTTTGGTTTGAAAAAAATAAGGTTTAATTTTAGTTGAGAACTACCTATAAAAGAATCTCTTCAGTAGACATGATTCTTTTTTTCTCAATAAAGTCAAAAAATTGAGTTTCATTAGGTAAGAAGATTATCAAGCTTTTTTTAAGAAAAAGCTCAGAAGACTTTCTTGAGATATTTATATCATCATCATGAGTTGGTATTCCAGAGTTCTCATGCGTTATCTTGTTATAATACAAGACATTAATCGGTATGATAGAGCATAGTTAGGTATAACTGGAACAACTATTGATCCAAAAAAAAAAGTAAATTCATTTGCTTTTATGAGGGTAATGTTATGACCATGTCATGCCATATAAAGTGCTCATTTGCACCTTACATTTAGGTGTGTAAAGTTCCGTGATATAACGGTAATTTGTATATTACGAACATCTGCTGTACTGATTAAATTTTTCAGCATTTTGTTTGAAAAATTAATAAGATTTCCATTTAGGGATGGGCCAAGAAGGCGAATTTTTGTAGTTTTTTTTTTACTCACCGTTAAACTTTGTAAAACTGCAGCCTCGCAAGGACTCAAAATAGTATTAGGATTTTGTCTGATACCCAAAGGTTGTCTGGGACTGACTGCCGTCTGAGATTTTTTCTGACTCAACACCGTCTGGGCATCAAAAGTATTAACAGTAGGTTGATCCAGAGCGCACTGTAGATCACAAATATAATCAATTACGTGCTGGATCACTTCCAATTTGGACAGTTTCCGGTTTTTGGGCATGAACGGCACCAAATCCTTCAGCTTGCTCAAGTACATTTGGATTTCTTCATTTTCCACGTCCTTTTGCTTCGTCTTGGTGATTTTGCCAGCGGCCACGGCTGTTTCGGGACAAACTGAAGCTACTACGGCCTTCATGATTTAATCCACACGAAAATAGTTAATCCAGAAAAAAGCACAAATAAAGTCACTAACACACTCCGATAACAAGAACGGTGAGCACGAAGCGAACAAACTAACGTCAGCGATTAAATGACAACTTTTCGGGAGACCAAAGTGTTTTATATGAGGCTAGGGAGGATTGTGGCCAATGGTAGGACTGGGTTGAAGTTACAAGGGAGGGGCTAGCAGGTAAGCGCTAGGCGCCAATGACGAGCCTAGGCGCCTTGGTGCGCCGGTGTGGATTGCGATGTTGTCAGAGTGAATATTTGGCCAGATTTAGGAGCGTATGACTGTGTTCTCGATTGAATAAATTTGATTTCTGTTGTGAGTAGTTCTTAGATACTGAAATTTAGTATAAAATATGAGTAATTCTTTTCTTATTATACAAATCGCGCTAAATAGTTGTAATGTATCGTTTTCATCTCCTACCTTTAAACTCAAAAACAAAAAAAAATTAAAAGTAGGTTTATTATTTATTATGTTACTATTGTTACGAAAGGGTTATTATGTTGAATGAAATGTTATCTTTTTATCCAATCCAAGATCCACGCATCAGTCTCCAACATCAACTAACAATAGGTTACGGGCCCAGATTTCAACCACTGAAATGGAAGTAAGCAGTACCTACCGTCCATCAAAAATCATGTTAATGCTGAGTTGCTGAATGGGCGAAATTATCACACATGGAAGTTTTGTATGAGGAAAAAGATGCTTCAGACTGTATTGACGAAGAATTTAATGAATTGGATTATTAAATGTACAATGCTTGGATAATTCGCAGATCGATTTAATTAGAGAAAAGAAAAACAGACAGCTTTTAGTATGTGGAATAGTTTGGAAGAGAGATATAAAAAAACGGCATTCCAGGTCAGTTGATTCTGAGAAAGAAATTGATGTCGATGAAGCTTCAGGATGGTAGTAAACTGGAACAATTTTTGGCTGAACATGATGAAGTTATAAAACAGTTAAATGCTACAGGGGCATATCTGAAAGAACAGAATATAGTTTATACTTTGTTGCTCGCTATGCCTATAATGTTCGAGTTCGAAACCAGTCATAACTATATTGGAAAACGTATTACCACAAGATTTAACAATGAGTTTGGCCGAAGCTAAGTTGAGAGCCAAAGCTGAAACAGTTATTTTATTTTTGTGCTGTCATTGCAGACCTCATCTGAAGGACCTTCCAAATTTTAAAGAGCTCATCAAAGCTTATGAGAAGAGACAAGTAGCTAAGAAAGATGCAGATCTCGAAATTTTGAACCAACAACTGGATGAGCTTAGAGAGGAACTGCAACATGAAATCTGCAAATTGCAGACTTCTAACCGCGATAAGGATAATTTTATCAAGAGGCTTCAAAAGAGAACTCAGGACTTTGAGGACTATGCTGTTCATTCCGAACAAAATTACGAAGAACTCTTCATCATGGCCCTTATTGAAGGAGATAAAAAAAGATGAGCAAGGATATTGTAACATTAATGGAAAATAATGAACTGCTCCATGTCGAAATAGGGGTGTTTGAGGAAAAAATGACTAAACTATATAATGAGCTTAAGATGTACAAAGAAACAACTGCTGAGATGAAAACAACAATTAAAATCCTCATGGAAGAAAACAACGTGTATATAAACGATTTAAAAAGGTTCATCAGGAATTGTTTACCTACAAGGAGTCTCTCACACTTTCCAAACTAAACAGGCCCTCTCGGTTTCATATACCTCATTCTTCTTCCTCGGACATCCCTGCTACTGTGGATAATCACTCCATGTCCAGTGCAGTTACAAATGCGAAAAAAGTGCCACTAAAGTTTAACAGCAGGAGGATTGTTGTTCTTACGGACAGTTTCGGTAAAAACCTTTAGGACTTTTCATCAAAAGAACTTTCAAATTTTAGAGTTCAGGTTATATCTAAACCATTTTCTAAATTTAAGGACTTAGTAAATACTTGTGACTGTTATGTCTCTAACTTAACTCTTGACGATTATGTATTGACACTTCTATAAGAATGCCTGATATAACCCTTTTAGCTAATAAGTGTTTTGCTACCAATTTAATTGTCTGCAGTCCTCCCATTTTACCTAATTACCCTAACCACTTTACTTATGTATAGAGGGTTTTCCTGGTGAAGATAAATCAAAGCAGGAAGGACGACAACGTTGAAACCAGAAGCCTTTAGCTAAAATTTGCCTCGTGGTTCATCACTCAGCATATCCTCATGTCAGGTTAGCACGCAAGCAAAAGAATCTTGAGAACACTCAACCAAATAGTAGCATAAATAAAAAGAAGTTGTTCTTAGATTTAATGAACAATTCATTAAAATCGGTCCAAAGAACGGTTTCTTTGATTACATGAACTCTAGGTTATTGAAGTATGAACAATTTCTTAATTCCTATTTCGATTCATCTTCTGTATGAACAACGAACATTAAGGTATGTAGTAAGGTTTTTGTATTAATGAAACTTTTCATAGTAACAATAAACATCGTTCTTAGTTTATATGTACTTTTTCATTGTCCTGATGAACAGACGGCATAATATTAATGAAGCCCAGATATAATTTGATGAAACCCTTTCATTGTATTTATGAATCACAGTCTTGAATACTAAGAATTGCATTCATTATATTTAATAATGACGTTTTCAATAATATATACCATATTCTTTATTTTTATTAAAATAATTTCATGAATTATGCCTTAAATATACTTATGATTTTAAATAGGGTAAAGGGTCATTTTTTATATTTGCGTGTCCCCTGTCCTGATGAATATGAGCAATAGGAAAAAAGCTTTTAATGCAAAAGTTGCATGGTTTCTTCGTATCATTCCAGAATTGTCAAACAAACCAATGGGCATCCCAAAATCTGAAAATTTAAAAATCTAACTACCTACTTATGTATTTTTATTTTAAATGACACTAACCGTATATTCTATTATCTTTCAAATCCTCCTTAAATCCTGTTTCCATAAATATATATTATATCTATATTTGTTCCAGCTGTTTTTGAACTATCAACATCCAAAGTTTCTAAAACAAGCCACATCAGAAAATAATATTTGATGCTTTGGCTGGTTTCCTTGCTTCGGCTATGAAACACTAGCTGCGGTATTGAATCTTCTGCTTTTCTACCTAGTGAAACAAAACCATTTAACAAAAATATATCGATTAAAAAAATTACAACTTGATTTGGGATTGAGTATAGTTACTTTTAGAGACTTCAGTATTCCTTAGAAATTCTGAGGAGCTCTTGACGCTTTTGTTTTTCACGTTCTCCCCGGATGACATTTAAATCTGTAGGTCATTTCTTTCGCATTCCCATTTTGAGACTAGACCGTCTCCGTGCAAGGCATCCAAGTCCTACCTACATAATAGGTATACATATTATAGAGGTAATAGAGGTATACAACTTACCTTTAGAAAAAACCGGCGACAGGTATAATCGACTTTCTATTTAACACTTCGAACAACACAAAACCGAAAAAACCGACTTGAACGAAGTACGTAGCAGTGCACCCAGAAAATAGAAATGTAATTATTCCTATTTCAACATATTTTTCTATGTCGTTGCCCGACTGCAGCTACCTTTGCGCATGTGCTTAGGAACTGTCTACATTAATGCTATGAACTGTTTCATTGTATTTATGATTTATCTTGATGTAATGGTTGCAGCTTTGTTTCTAGGAATACTTGCTTGTTTTAAATGAACCGTACATTGTATCAATGAATTTCGTTCTTAAAAGGATAATTTTCTAGTAAGGTCATATGAACCATATTCATATTATTCATGTTAATATTCATTTATATTATGAATATTCCGTGGAAGCTCCCATCAAAGAAATTTTCTTTAATATCAAGTTTTAATTTCATAATATCAATGAACTTAGTTCTTGTAACCGATGCACTATTCAACATAGATTCATGTAGATGACTATTCATAACTTGATGAAGCTTCATTCTTTATTTTAATGATAGCTGTTCATGAAATCATAATACTTACAGTTTTCTGTACCTGGGATTAATGAAAATTTCACTGAATCAATGAAAATGTAATTTATGAAAGCAGTTCATTGATATTATGATCAAGATTTTTTTGAGTGAAAACTTTGAAAAAGTATAATATGAAGATATAGAGGTCTACATAGAAGGTTAGCCCTAATACGTGGTTTAGTCAATGAAGTAGTAAGAAGGTTTGGGATAGGCCTTTACCTATCTACTCAATACATATATTTGCGACCAACATTAGAGTGAGATTATCTGCCCTTACTAGCGCTATCTCATTCTGGAATCAATTAAATGACGCAAAGCCCATTTCAAACCTTCTTATTACTTCATTGGGTTTAGTTCGACTAGAGAACTTCAAAACTATGGAGGCATATGTTGAAATTAGAAAAAATAAAGACATATGTAAATGAAACTATGTCGCTCAAAAATTGAGTGACATGAGTCAGCCAGTGGATGATGAGTGGATGAGGAGTTATATTACTGAGTGGACTAACCGCAAACTATGATGCAATGGTAATGGCTATTAAAAATTCAAGAGTAGTAATCACATGTGACTCCATCAAGGCTAAGCTTCTCCAAGAAGACAAATATGGAAAAGAAACGTCTGAGACAGCATTTTAATCGAATTTTAAAAAGCAATTTAACAAGAAAAATGTAAAATGCTACAACTGTGGGCTAAGGACACCAATAGAAAAGTTAGGCGAGGAAAAGCACTACATACTGTCTTAGCATCAGGTGAATTGGTAAATACATCCCGTTGGTATGTGGACTCGGGGGCAACCTCGCACATGTCATATAATGAAGATTGTCTTCAACATTTTACTACCAACGATGACAGTGAGATTTTGGTAGCCAATAATCAAAAACATCATCCTATTACTAACCCTCACAAACTTTTCTGTGTTGTAAAGATATGACTTGAATCATTCCAGAGGAAAGTTTCAAATGCCGTAGTACTACTACAATTTTATGATTTGGGATAAAGTGGAAAGAAGTGCAATTGGACGATAATTCGAAGTTTGATCTTTATCCCCATACCCTCGTGCAGAGGAATGGGGAATAGCAGTTTTAAGGCAATCTGGAAAGACTACCTGTTGGAAAGATTTGTTTCCGTAGTCCGGTGTTTATATGGTTTATTTTTTGATAGGCCTACCTAAGACGAATTGCT